AGTAATTCAGGTTTGACTTAATATAAGAAAAACTGTGAACATAATAGACATATTAATAACAGCCAATAAAAACCACATGATTGCATTAATAGCTGCTGACATGGGTTTTGACAAAATCCAACACCCATTTCTGTTTAAAAAAAAATTAGAAAGCATAGGAATAAACTGACTTTTCCCTAATATGGCAAGTGGTATCTTTCTAAAACCAAGAACAAACATTTAATGTAAAAGAGAAAGTTTGGAAGTCTTTCGAAGACAATTAGAGGTAAAGTAAGGATGCTCATTATTACTAGAAGTATTTAACATGCTGCTAGAAATGCTAGCCAAAGCAATAAGACAAGAAAAAGAAATAGAGGGACTAAGGATAGGCAAAGAGGAAACAAAACTAAAATGTGTTTTGTTTTGTTCTTGCTAAGGATGCTCTGTTTAGAGGACCCTGAAGAATCAACTAGACATCAATTGAAACAGCTTATAAAATTAGCAACGGTGCAGGATTTAAAATGAATCATTGACATTTGTATATGTCATCAACACAACTTACCAGGAAGAAATAGAAAGAAAAATTCTTTCAAAAATAATTCAAAATTCATTAAAAATAACTACAAAATGTATAAAATATTTGGAAGTCAATCTACTGAGACATTCATAGGAATTATATGAATACAAATACAAAACAGAAAGACATTTAAATAATTGGAGAAACATTAATTGTTAATGAGTAGCCCATGCCCATTAGCCCATTTTATTGTAATAAAAATTACAATACCACTTAAATTAATATACTGATTCAGGGCCATACCGATAAAAATGCCAAAGGATTATTGTATAGAGCTAGAAAAAAATAATAATGAAATTCATCTGGAGGAACAAAAGGTTAAGAATCTCAAGGGAAATAATGGGGTGGGGGGGAATGGAAAATAATGAGGCCTGTTAGTAACAGATCTCAAACTATACTACAAAAAAATAATCATTGAAATGATTTGGTACAGGTTTAAACAAAGAAAGGTCAATCAGTGGAATAGATTAGGTATATAGCATACAGCAGCAAATGAACTAGCTTAGTGTTTCATAAACCCAGTGATCCCAACTACTGGGGCAAGAACTCTCTATTTGACAAAAACTGCTAGGAAAACTGGAAAGCACTTTGGTGGAAATTAGGCATAAACCAACATCTCACAATATATACCAAGATAATCACCAAATGACTTATACATAAGATATGAAGTAATAAATTAGAAGAGCACAGAAGAAATTACCTTTCAGATCTATGTTTAGAAGAACAGTTTGTGACCAAAAAAAGAAGGGAAAATTTTGATTATATAATTTTTTTCACAAACAAAATCAATGGGGCTAAAATGAGAAGTAGATAATGATTTTTGGGGAGAGGAAATAATTTCAGCAAGTTTCTCTTATAAGAATTTCATTCCCAAAATATCTAAGGAACTGATTTAAATTTATAAGAGTCATTCTGTGATTGATAAATGGTCAAAGGTTATGAACAGGTATTTTTCAAGTGAAGAAACCTAAACTATCAAGAGTCATTAAGAAAAAAATAGTTCAGATCACTAACACTTAGAGAAATGCAAATTAAAGCAACTCTGAGGTTCCACCTCACACCCATTAGGTTAGCAAAGATAACGAATAAGAAAAATAACAAATACTGGAAGGGCTGCAGGGAAACAGGCCAGGCACACCAATGCACAGTTGACAGATCTGTGAATTGGTCCAACCATTCTAGAAAGTAATTTGGAAATATTCCCTCAAAGTCTTTAAACTGTGCATACCCTTTCACCCAGAAATACCATTCACTACTAGGCCTATGACCCAGAGAGGTCAAAGAAAAAGGAAAAGAACTCGTGTGTACAAAACTATTTATAGCAGCTCTTTTTGTAATGACAAAGAACTGGAAACTGAGGAGGTGTCCATCAAATTGGGGTTACAATATAATGTTATTGTGCTCTAAGAAATGATGAAGGGGGCAGTTTCAGAGAAACCTGGAAAGACTTGTATGAACTGATAGAGAGTGAAGTGAGCAGAATCAGGAGAACAATTTGTACAATAAAACAATACTGTAACACAAACAAATCAGAAAGACTCAAGAACTTTGGCCTGGATACTGGGGCAAAGGTCAAAGCCTTAACCAACAACAAGTCCAGAGAATTGATGAAGAAGCATTCTGACAGAGAGGCAATAAACCCAAAGTTCAGAAGGCCATATATAATTTTTGGACATGGCCCATGAGGGAATTTGTTTTGACTACACATTTTTGTTACAAGGATTTTTTTTCTTTTCTTTTTCTTAATGAGAGGAAGAGAAAAACAGATTTTTGTTCATAGACAAAAATACAATAAAAATTTTAAAATTGTTTTAGATTTTATGTAAACAAAACTTACACAGTTAAAATTAGAAGGGAAACATTTAACTGGGGCAAATCTTTGCAGTAAGTTTTTCTGATAAATACCTCATATCAAAGATATGTAACTGATTGATTTGAATTTATAAGAACAGGAGCCATTCTCCAGTGCTTAAGTAATGGTGAACAGTTTTCAAAGGAAGAAATCTGAGCTTTCAATAGCTATATATGCGATATATATGTGTATATATATATATGTATGTATATATATATATAGCTCCTATATATAATGCTCCAGAATAAAATATAACAAAACCAATACAGTTAAAACTTCTACACATTTACTAGCTGTGTGACTCTGGGCAAGTCGATTAAACTCTTCCAGCCTGTTTTCTCATCTGGATTGTTGTGAATATCAAATAAAATAATAGATGTTGCAGTGAATACATTATTGGACTTAAAGTCAAGAAGACGTGAATTCAGATCTTGCCTCCCATACTTGCTAGCAGTGAGAACCTGGTTGAGTCATTCAACCTCTCTCTGCCTCAGTTTCCTCATCTGCAAAATGGGATAATAATAGCACTTGCCTCACATGGTTTTTTGAGGATCAAATGACAATATAAAATGTGCTTTGCAAACTTTAAAGTGTTATATAAATGCTAATCAATATTATAATGACAAATGGTGGAGGGACTACCATCAAACAGGCACAATCAGGCACTGCTAGTGGAAAGGTGAATTGGTTCAGTCATCTGGGAAAGCAATTTGGAACTACATCCCCAAAGTTAGTAAACTGTGACCAAGTTATAGTACTTTGACCCAGAAATATGACAACTAGGCCTATTCCCCAAGGAGAGCAAAGAGGGAGGAGAAGAACTCGTATATACAAGAATATTTATAGCAGCTCTTTTTGTAGTAGCAATAAACTGAAGGAATAAGGAAGCAATAAACTAATCTATTGGGGAATGCCTAAACAAATTATGGCATATGAAAGTAATGTAATATTATTGTGCTGTAGGAAATGACGAATGGATAACGTCAGAGAAACCTGAGAAGACCTGTATGATCTAATGCAGAGTGAAGTGGAAAGAGCCAGGAGGACAATTTATAAGATAACAACATTATAAAGAAAAACAAGTTTGAAAGACTCAAGAACTCTGATCAATGCAATGACCACCTATGTCTCCAGAGAACTGATGGTGAGGTGGGCTGCCAGCTCCTGATAAGAAAGTAAAAGTAATAGTAATAGTAGTAAAAGTAATAAAGCAATAGTAGACCAAATCGATGGGGAAATTTGTTTATGTATATTTGGTGCAAAGACTTGAGTTTTCTTTTTCCTTTTTTTTGCCCCAAGGGGTTGGTGGTGGGGTTATGGTGGTGGGGATAGATAGGGCATAGGAGTGGGGAACCTATGGCCTCTAGGTCCTCAAGTGCAGTCCTTTGACTGAATCCAAACTTCACAAAACAGATCCCCTTAATAAAAGGATTTGTTCTGTAAAACTTGGACTCAGTCAAAAGGCTGCATCCAAGGACCTAGAAGGTCACATGTGTCCTCGAGGCCACAGGTTCCCCACCCCTAGGGGTATTTAAAGAGATGAGGGAGGGGAGTGGAAAGAGGGGAAAAGGGAAGGGGAGACAGAGAGAGAGACAGAGACAAAGACAGAGACTGAGACAGAGATAGAGAGGGAGAGAGGGAAGGAGAGAGAGGAGAGAAGGGGGAAGAAGGAGGGAGGAAAGAAAGGAAGAAAGAAAGAAAGAAATGAGAGTAATTGAGGCATCATTTTTTAAAATATAGAGCATAGGAGGAACCAAAATGAAACAAAGGGAAGCAAGATGGTTTTGAAAACTATCAGTTGAACTTACATATTTAAAAAGAAAAGCAAGCTATAGATAATAAGGACCAATAGTTTTATGCACAATCCTCTTTTTCTGCTCTACCATGTATTTGGAAATGACTATTTTTCTTGGTGTTTGTTAAGTTCAGTATGGAAATATAATTTTTTAAAGGAGGTAGTGAGTTCCCCATCCCTGGAGGTCTTTAGGGAGAGACTGGATGACTACTTCTGAGCAATGTTACAGAGAGGAGTCCTGTTCAGGTTCTGGGTGGGCTAGATGCTCTTTGCGGTCCCGTTCAACTGTGAGATCCGGTGATCTGTGACACTTCCTCCTCCCCTGCCCCCCAAATCCTACCAGGATTCCAATGGTAATCTTCCTCAGCGATCCTCCCAGCCCAGGGGTCCCAACTGTCATCTCTTCCCTTGCTTGGAGGTGGGGGTGGGGAGTCTGTTGCCTCTGCCGACACTCAGCAGTCCTCCTCAATAACCGTCTCATTACTCCAGGTTCACTAACTCTCATTTCTCCATCACTCAGGGGTCCTCAGCTCTCTTCTCCTCCCACCCCAGCCCCACTCTCTACCAGGCGGACATCTTTACTACCTTCCCTATTACCAAGGCTCCCTTCCTCTTACACCCTGTTTCTGAGGCCCTTTGTCAAGAGCAGAGATCAATGCCTGGCAACTAGTAGATCTTTATTCCCTCCCCTCCTTTCTCTCCCCCAAACCTCTCTGGTTTCAGTGGGGTGGGAGGGTAGGTCGTCAGGACTTGGGATTGGCTAGAACCAGCACCAGGTCATAATGCCCCTGCCATTTCCTGGGTTCCGTGTGAGGTGTATCGTTCTGGTTGCTGGGTCCAGGGCAGTAACAGGTGAGCCCAGGGTCTATGCCCCATCCAGGTGGACAAGGTTGCTAGGTGCTAGTGCTCCTTTTCCCCTACCCTGACATCTCTAGGGAAACCTTGGTGGTCTGTTTTGTAAAATGGGTTTCTATTCCTTTGTCTCAATACTGGAAATAAATGTGTGTTTTAGGTGCCTTGGGATGCCAGTCGCACAGATGTTATCTGCTTGAGATAACCCCATTCTCCATTTTCTTCTGTTTGACCCTCCCAAGAGCTTGCTGGTCCTTTCTGCAAATTGAATCCCTTTCTTTTTCTTATCCCTTTGAAGTAGAAAGGATTCTTCAGATTTCCTTCCCCACCCCCATCTATTTTCACTCTCCTTCCTCTTCCAGTGTGTCTGAACAACTTTCTAGCTGAGTCCACATTGATTGAATGCCAGGTTTTCATATTACCATCCAAGGTCAGACTGGGGGCACAAGCGCCTTCTTGAGGGAATGATCCCTCCTGTCACCTTCCAGCCCTCACCCTTGGGTCTCAGCATCTCTCCTCTGGACAAAGCAGTGTTCTAGGGCTGGGGGGGAGCAGGCTGCCTCAGGGGCCAGACTTTCCTTCATAAATAGGGAACTCTAGAGTTGAAGAGGTCCCAGGCTTAAGCAGCTGGCTTCAGAAAGCCCCTAGGTCTTGGTCTCTGCCCTCTTCCCAGACAGTTTCCATTGCTCCCATATAACCTAAAGGCATTGTGGGAAGAGCTCAGACTTGGAATCAGGAGACATTTGGGTGATTGTGGGACCTCTGTGCCTCAGTTGTCTCACCTGCCGAATCGGGGTAGTAGTCAATATTTGCAGACTGCAGTTAATTTTAAAAGGTCCTCAAGGCTTATGTAAATAAAATTTTAAATACTCAAATGGATCTGTGATCTTGTTTCAGTTCTTCTAGTGATGTGTATTGGAACCTTTCCTGTGTGACTCTCATCCATGTTCTCCCCGCAAGTTTGCCACGGAGTGTCCACTCGGTATGTTGAAGACCTTCCTCAATTTCTCCCAATGTCCCGAGGGGAAGAGTGGAGCACCCTCGTTAACAACCTGTCATCCTTTGCACTTTCCACGGGACCAACCCATCTTCATTCTCTGTCATAGAGTTCTCTCATATCTTTGTCAAAGAGTTTGAACAAATGCTGTGCACTAGTCTTTCTTGTCTTGGGAGCTGATTATTGATTACACGCTGCAGCTGGCTCACACCCACCATGCTTCTTTCCATTGCCATCTTCAGTTCATCAGAGACGGGGTTCCAGGTCCCGCTGTCAGAGAGTAACAGCAATAAAATGCTTTTATTGAAAACATAGGCCTTTGCTGTTGTGAGGGGCTTGGAATCAGTCAAAGTGCTTTGCGATTTCCTGAAAGCAATCGAGCCCTCTCTCCTCCTTCCTTCCAACTCTGTGCCCTCAGCTCATTGTCTGTCTCTATTCCCTGTCCCAGACAAATATACTATCGGACAAGTTCTGTAAGGGTGTATAGTGAAGTACATGCTGAAATTGAAGCAATAGGTGTTCTTCATCCTTTCGGTCTTTCCTGTGTGGATGGATAGGAAGAACTCCTTTAAATGATCACTGGTATTTTCCAGGAGTCTCTGCAATGTCCAGGTACTTGATGCAATCAACATAATGTCTTCCCACAAACAGGAGTTTCTGAGGGACCTCTCCATATAGAGGGGGTCTCTCTTCAACATGCCCTCTGTGCTGTTTTTTTTCTGTGTAACTGTATATAGTAAGCATGGAAGCAATGCATGCAATGCATGTTGCCTGTCTGCCATCACGGTGGTAAATACTTTTAATGAGCAGATATCTCATAGTTGTGTGCCTGTATCTCACAGGGGGGAAAATGAGGCCTTGACTGAGAGTTTTCTTTTCTTCTCCTCCTCATCTCACATCACTCTGATGCCCTCCCCAACTCTCTCCCTATCTTATGTGAAGAAATGGCCTTTCTCCTTGCCTTCTCTCTCTCTGTGTCTCCTCTCTCTGTGTCTCTCTTCCTCTCTTTCTCTCTCTCTCTCCTCTCTCCCTCTCTCTCCTCTCTCTCTCTCTCTCTTCTCTCTCTTTCTCTGCTCTCTCTCTCCTCTTCTGGTCTCTCCTCTCCTCTCCTCTCCTCTCCTCTTCTCTTCTCTTCTCTTCTCTTCTCTTCTCTTCTCTTCTCTTCTCTTCTCTTCTCTTCTCTTCTCTTCTCTTCTCTTCTCTCTCTCTCTCTCTCTCTCTCTCTCTCTCTCTCTCTCTCTCACTCTCTCTCTCTCTTTCTCCCTCTCTAAGTTTTATTGGTGCCACTTGGAAGCAGGTATGTGAACTAGCAAATAGAGTGCTCAGCCAGAATCAGCAAGATATGAGATCAAATCTGGCCTTAGACACTGACTAGTTATGTGACCCAGGGCAAGCCACTTAACCTTTGCCTCAAGAAATATTTGTAAAATAATGACTAATGAGAAAATATGCTTAACACAAATGTATATGTAGAGCCTATATTAGATTGTACGCCATCTCGGGGTGGGAGGGGGAGAAAATTTAAAACTCAATCTTATGAAAATGAATGTTGAAAATGAAAAATAAATAATTAAAAAAATTTTTTTAATCTAAAAAAAAAAAGAAATATTTGTAAAGTGCTCAGCACAGTGCCTGACACATATTAGGTGCTTAAGAAATGCTGGCTCCCTTCCCCCTTCTCAGTTTTCTCAACTATACAAATGGGGATAATAATAGCACCTCCTGCCAAGGTTGTTGAGAGGATCAAACAAGATAATATTTTTAAAGAGCTTGGCACATAGTAGGTACTTAATGTTGTTCCATTCCCCTTCCTCCTCAGTTTTCTCAACTATAAAATGGAGATACTAACAGCATCTACCTGCTGAAGTTATTGTGAGGGCCAAATAATATTTGTTTTATATAATATTATATATAGTATAATATACATATATATTGCTATGCTGTAATATAAAAATAATATTTATAAAGTGCTCAGCACATAGTAAGTACTTAATAAATGCTTGTTCTCTTTTTTTGTTTTTATATCACCATCAATTTAGGGGTGTATTGAAACTATTCACTCATTAATCTCTCCTTTGTAGTCTGTCCTCCCCCCCCCCAAAAAAAAGTTAAGCAAAACCTACTGACAAGTCACCTTGTCTGATTGTGTATGAACATTTCATACCTACATTCCCCTACCTACTAAGTGGAAATAAGTGCATTTCTTCTTCTTTTTTCCAGGATCAAGATTCATTAAAACAGTTACTTAGGGTCTAGTTTGGTCTTAGCATACTTTTCATTTTCCATTAATGTCATTGTATCTGTTCTTTTTCTGGTTTCTGCATACTTTTACTCTGTATCAATTCATAGAAAGATTCCCATTTTCTTATGTTTGTTGTTATTTATAATGTAATAATATTCTATTACATTCACATACTATGCATTCAGCTCTTCCTTCAATTAATGAATACCCATTTTGTTTCCAGTTTTTATTTGCTCCCAAATATTGTTATGAATGAATATATGGTAGATATGGAACTTTTCACTGTCTTTAATGTCAATCTTTGTCAAAGAGATTGAATAAACTAATGATTCTAATGTAATTATAAATTGTTTTCCAGAATAAATGAACTAATATTGACAGCTATTCCAACACATTTTCAACTTTTATCATCTTTGCCAATTTGCTGGATGTGCGGCAAAACCTGAGTTTTTTTATTTGCATTTATCTTATTGTTATTAGTGATTTGGAGCAATCTTGCAAGTGATTGTTGATAGGTTGCAATTCTTTGTAAAACTATTTGTTCACATCCTTTGACCATCTATCTACTGGAAAATGTCTCTTGGCCTTAAGATATTTGGGTCAGTACTAGTTAATCTCAAGTATTAGACATTTATCAGAGATATTTGATGTTAAGATTTCACCCAATTGACTGTTTCCCTTCTTATCTTAGCTAGTTTGATTTTGTTCATGCAAAAACTTTTAAATTTTATTTGAAATTATCTAATTACTCTTTTATGTTCATCACTATCCATCCCTTGTTTTATTAAGAATTCTTTCCATAAAACAACCTTGATATTTTACCTGAAAGCCTGCAAATTGTCAAAAATGACCAAAAAATGGCAATAATCAATTTTAGAGGGGTTTTGGAATGATAGTTGTACTAATACATGGTTGGTGGAACTGTGAAGTGGTTCAACCATTTTGGAAAGCAATTTGGAAATATGCAAATAAGGTGACTAATGTATTTATACTCTTTGAACCAGAGATGCTATTACTGGGGTTATATCCCAAGGAAGCCATAGACAAGAAGCAAATCTCTACATATGCCAAAATATTTAGAGCAGCCCTTTTTGTGATAGCAAAGAATTAGAAACAAAGTAGATACCTATCATTTGGGGAATGGCTAAACAAATTGTGGTACATGAATGGAATGATATGTTACTATGCTATAAGAAATGATGTGTGTGATGAATTCAAGAAAACATGGAAAGATCTATGTGAACTGATATAGAATGAAGTAAGCAAAGCCAAGAAAACAATATACACAATAACTACAACAATGTAAAAGAAAGAAAAGCTGCACTTCAAAAAAAATCAAAAGTAAATGTAACAAATTATAAAGATCAAGCAGGACTCAAATGAAGAGATGTGAGAGGACACCCCACACCCACCCTTCACGGAGGCGTGAAGTCCACAGATGTAACACATTGCTTGTGTTTTCAGACTCTCTCAATGTATTGATCAGTTGTACTGATCTTATTTTCTTCCTTAAAAATTACTATTCGATGTATGGGATGGCTCTCTGGGAGTAGGAGGGAGAGAGAAACTTGGGAAAACTATGATGATGTAAGAAACAAGACATCGATAAACACTTACTTAAAAAAAATCTTTCCATCCCCATACCCTCAATTATAGTTATAAAAGATGATTCCTTCCATTCTCTATTTTTTAAAAAGATGATGGGACCTTTTATTTTTAGGTCAAATGTTCATTTTGAACTTACTGTGGTATGTAGTGCAAGTTGCTAGTCTAAACCCATTTTCTGCCAACTTGCTTTTCATTTTTTCCAGTTCTTGATAAACAGGGAGGACATTCCTAAGTAGTTTATTTCTCAATTAAGTTGATCAAACACTGGGCTACTGTGTTTAATTTTTAAAATTTCTTTTTTGTTTTAGTCTGTTCTATTGATCAACTTTTTCTCCTTTAAACTGGCAAAAGTTTCGATGATTGCAGTTTTATAGTTTGAGATCTGGAAGCACTAGACCTCTTTCATTACCACCTATTTTTTTTTTATCATTTCCCTTGAGATACTAAAACTTTTTCATTCCCCCAAATAAATTTTTAAAAATATTTTGTCTAGTTCTATAAAGTGTGATTGGTGTGTGTTGTGGGACAGGCCTGACTCAGGCCGGCCTGCTGGTTTGGTTTCAGAATTGGAATAAAATATGACCTTTATAGACTATTTGACGGTTAACAAAAAGAAGCTTCCTTAGCCATAGCATGGAAAGGATATTCAGTGATAATACAGTTTTGATTAACTTGGATATAACTTCCCTCCTACTGTGTAGGCTATGCTTCATCTGCCCATTAGGAGATAGTATCATACCTGGGAGAAGAACTCCAAACTCTTCATAAATTGACTTTTCCACTTAATCAATGGCCAGACCCTTAGTCTTCTGGGCCAATTCAAGGACAATCTCACCATCTCATTAGGAAAAAATTAGGCTAGCCTAGATGGCAGACTTCTACCATAATATGACACTAAATCTGTAAATTAATTAGATAGCATTGTCATTTTATTGTATTGATGCATCCCAGTCTGGAACAATGAACATCTCTACAATTACTTAATTCTTCTTTTTTTTCAAAAGTAACAAGTATTCTCAATGAAGTTATCAGTGGGCATGTCCCAACTCTTCATAGGTAGATGCTTTTAAAAGCATCCTATAATCTCATCAAGTTGAACTCACTAAGGAAGCTCCTTTGTTTAATCCACTACAGAATAATTTTTGTAGCACAAGTATTGCTCCTCAAATGTTTGATAGAATTCATTTATAAATCTATAATAGATAAGCATCCTTTTTACACTTTGATAATCCATTTATATTTTGTTCAGTTTTTTTCTTTCTGAGACTGAGCTGCTTAAATTTCCATTTCTTGTTTTGTTATTTGGATATTTTCTATATTTAGAAGTAATCATGCATTTCTTTTAAATTTTGTTTTGCTAGCATATATACTACATGGTAATTTCTGATTATTCTTATTATTTCTTCTCTCTGTTCATTGCAAATTTACCTTTTTGTGTGTGTTTTTTTTAATTTGTTATTTTGTTTTCCTCTCTTTTTTAGACCAAGTTAACTTAAGGCTTATTGATATTTTTAGCCTTTTAAAAATATTCTAGTTTTATCATCTCCAAAGTACTTTTGTTTTCTATTATATCTACTCCAATTTTTAACATTTCTTCCAATATTCATCTTGGGTTTGTTATTTTATTGATTTTCTAGTTTTTAAAAAATGCATGTACAGTTCACTAACTCTGTTTTTTCTACTTGTTAATTTTTTTTCCAGAAATGCAGTTTTTCTTCTGAGGACTGACTTAACTAGATCCCCAATATGTGGGTATGTTGTCGCATTGTTATCATTCTTTTTCATATAGTTTCAATTGTTTTTATGATTTGTTCTTTGACCACTTATTATTCAGGATGTTGTTACTTAGTCTCCTTTTAGATCTGTATTTTTTTAATTGGACTCGTTTTTTTAATTGCTATTTTCATTGCATTATAGAATATAAAAGAAGTTTAATATTTCTGGCTTTTACATTTTTGTAAATGTACTTACTAGATGATGCTAAGAAATATATATCCATATGCATATAATGTACATTCTATAATGTTCTCATTCAGAAGTTTCCTCAATCTTTCAAATATAATGTTTTCAATAGTCTGTTCAGTTCTGTATTTTACTGGTTTATCTTTCTGTTAGATGTATCAAGTTTTGATAAAGGAACATTGATGTCTTCTACAATTATTGTTACTATTAATTTTCTTTTTTTAAATTTGGCTAGCTTTTCCCTTATGAATTTGTCATTTCATATATGTATATTTAATAATGATATTATTTCATTGCTAAGATGCATTTAAATGTAAAGTCATTTCCTTTATCTGACTTAACATTGTGAATTTTTATTTATGTTTTGTCTGAGAACATGATGGTAATAATTGCTTTTTTTAATCACCTAATGCATACTAAATTTTGTTCTAATTCTTCAATTTCATTCCCTATATCTCTTTATTTTTAATGAGTTTATTTAGTGAATACGCCTTGGTTCATTCTCCAAGAGCCTGACTAGCTATATGTCCTCCTTGGGGTTCTAGACTGTCCTGAGAGAGTGATAAGTTATCTTTTCTCTAACTCCCAACTTAAGCCTCTACCAGCTGTGTTCTCCCCAATGTAAGGAGCCTGTGACTAGGACACAGTTTCGTATAACCAGTTAACACCAAGTAGTTTCACCAAAGGAATATTTACTTTGAAGATATAGTGAAAACAAAGAACAAACAAGCCATACCTCTGAGGCACTTAGGATACCTCCCCTACACCATCTCCATTTCTGGGGGAGTAGTCTCAATGCTTAGCTCACTTCCGACATAGCATAAGTCCTGCTAAGTTCGTGGCCAGTTGTGGCATGACTGTCAGATGAGTCCTTGTCTCAACTTCTGCTGGCCTGTGGTTTTTGAGGTCACTTTTTGCTCTTCAGGGCATTGATGCTACAGGACTACTGGATACTAGAGTGCCCTCCTGACCTTTCAAAACTTTCAAGGTCTTAGAGTCTCCATCCTGTTCATCTAGATCAGAAAAGGACAAATAAAGTCCAAGGATCCAGGCCTCTTTAGGGGGCTCAGAAGCCTCTCTCCTTACTAAATTGTCTCTTGCCAGATGCTGAAGCTGATGGGCCCTTTTTAATTCCTCTATAGCTAATCAATGAGTCTTCTCTTAACCAACCAGAACCAGTTACAGAATGTCCATGCATGCTCCACCATTTCTCTGCACCTCATTCCGTCTCATGACATTTCTCCCAGAAATAAGCTCCCTGGCCTCCTCCACATACAGAGACACCATCTGACATGCGCTGAGCATGCACCAGATGCATCCCCATTACACTTGAACATAGTAAACAAACAAACAACATTCTGACATTGTTTATCTATCTATCTATCCGTCCGTCTGTCTGTCTGTCTGTCTGTCCGTACATCCATCCATCCATCCATCCATCCATCCATCCATCCATCCATCCATCCATCCATCCATCCTTCCATCCATCCATCCATCTATCTATCTATCTATCTATCTATCTATCTATCTATCTATCTGTTTATTACCAGATAGACATTGAGTAAGTGCCTATTATATGTTAGGCACTGTGCAAGGCTCTGGGGATACAAATAAGAAAAGGAAAGACAGTGTCTGTCCCCAAAGAGTTTACAATCTAATGGGGAGGAGGGAATAATACAGGCAGACTTCATTTTGTTGTGCTTTGCTTTATTGATCTTTGCAGATAATGTGTGCGGGTTTTTTTGGTTTTGTTTTTTTTGTTACAAATCGAAGGTTTGTGGCAACCCTGTGTTAAGCAAGTCTATAGGAACCATTTTTCCAACAGCATTTGCCCATTTTGTGTCTCTGTCACATTTTGATAATCTCACACTATTTCAAACTTTTTCATTATTATTATTATTATTATTATATCTGTTATGGTGATCTGTGATCAGTGATTTTTGATATTACTATTGTAATTGTTTTGGAGCGCCATGAACCATGCCCATATAAGGTGGTGAATGGATAAATGGATAATGTGTGGATAAAGAGATAAATGTGTGTGTTCTACCTGCTCCACCAACCTGTCGTTCCCCGTTTTTCTCCCTCTTGTTGGGCCTCCCTATTCTCTGAGACACAATGATATTGAAGAATATTATATAAACTTGGTTGACAAAGCAGTGGCAGGGTTTGAGAGGATTGACTCCAGTTTAGAAAAAAGTTCCACCATGGGTAAATACTATCAAACAGCATCGCCTGCCACAGAGAAAACTTTCATGAAAGGAAGAGTCAGTCAACACGGCAAACCTCATTTTTGTCTCAGTTTAAGAAACTGCCACAGCCACCCCAACCTTCAGCAACCACCACCCTGCTCAGTTAGCAGCCATCAACATAGAAGCAAGAACTTCCACCAGCAAAAAGTTTACAACTTGCCGAAGGCTCAGATGATGGTTAGCACTTTATTTTTTTTTGCAATAAAGTAATTGTACATTGATCTTTTTTTATTCATAATACTATTGCACACTTAATAGACCACAGTATAGCCTAAACCTAACTTTTATATGCACTGGGAAACCAAAAAATTCGTGTGACTTGCTTTATTGTGATATTTGTTTTATTGAGGTGGTCTGGAACTGAACCCACAATATCTCGGAGGTATGCTTGTACAGAAGCGGAAGCTGAAAGGGGGAGGAGTTCCAGAGGGTACCTGACCCAGGGGCATGATGAAGATGATGGTGGAGTAGAAAACAAGCAGAGCTACTAGTGGCACGTAAAGAGATGGCTGGCATTTTGAAGGAAGATATAGAAGGAATTTTTTTCTTCCATTCTCCAGCCCTCTAAACAGAGAGGCAGAAGTAACTGAGGGGGACTGATGAGGTGTGGGTAACAAAAGTGAAGCAACCTCAGTGATGATGAGTTTCTTGGTAATGAGATTATCTAATGATAAATTTGTCTTGGATGAGCTGGGTGAAGATGATGCAAGCAGAGGGGATGGTGGAAAATGGAGCTCATGATGGATGGCCTCCATTTTATTTCCCTTGCTCCCCCCTTTTAAATATTTTTGTGATGTTC